ACTGCTGTGCCTAACACAGATGATCTGGATAGATTCGGGTGATTGTCAATTAATTGCAATGATGGCTTTGGTTGGGCGTTCTTCTTCATCGTATGTCCACGGACTCATTCTGACAGCACTTCAGACAGCAGCTCCATGCCCCGAGCTTGTGTACCATGCACCATGGTGTTATTATTGTACAGACAGCACTTCAGACAGCAGTACGCTGTAGTCGACAAACATTCATTTTGGTTTAATGCGGGACAAGGGGGGTGATGCTGCTGCTGTAGTCGAATTGTAGTGTGTGGGCGTGCAGTTCAGTTGTGAGCACGCAAACAAACGTGCTGCAGGGATTGCAGGTGTACCTCCTCGGGCTTGCGTACCCTTTCTTGCTAATAGAGTGTGTGTTCTTTAGATCTTCTGATGACTCTAGCATTTTTGTGACCACGGACCGAGTCTTGGCTAGATTTGGGGATCAGTAGCTGACACGAGCTTAATGTGAAGAAAAACAACTTGCGATGGGTATGTATCTGGAAGCGTATAGATGAAAAGAACTTCGTGGTGGAGAGATAATAAATGATCTTAGCATCGGATGGAAGATGGCCAACCTGTGAAAATGGAATGTGAAAGTAATACTTACTGCATTTACATGGTTAATGAAATAATTGATGCAACAACAACAACAACGCGGAATTCAACGCCAACATTACACATTCTTCTAACGTTTACATCTAACCTGTCAACGAAAATAATGTGCCTAACATATCACGATGAAAACTATTGAAAAATATGGCACATTAATATAGTATGTAGCGATACAAAGATGTGTGGGCAACCGCATATATATATATATATTCGACCATCGAAACCGCAAGGGGGAACACTGAAAATGAAACGTGCCCCTTGCAAGTAGAGTGAGAAACTTATGGCCGGCTTCCTCGCCAAAATTCCCATGCATCCAGGTAACAACGGCAGATACTGGAAATGCCGAAATGCCGCCAAATTCCGCCGAACCACAAATCTACCCTTCAATGAGTCAGTCAAGTATTATGCACTTCAAAGAGTGAGCCAAGTATGCACATGAAGGAGCGCACACGCAGCCACTCGTCTGAGCTACTCCCCCACCTCTCCTGGTTTTCGGAGCTAGCCGGCAATTCGGATCCAGCCGTTGTGCGATACGTAACCATCTCCGTTAGGATTTGAGGAGGACGGATTCTAAAGCTGTAGAGAAGCACTGCGCCTGTTCGCTCCTTCCTACCGCTGCTTGAGACAGACTTGGGCCCTCCAAAACTCCGACAGGTACGAACAAACTCCTTCGTGTGTGGTCGAAGATGGACTGCGTCTTATACAAGCCAACATGCCACGATGCACAACATAATGCTGCTGCCGTTCACCTGTCGCCGCCCTTCCACGTCTACCTGTCCATGACACATGCTGCCACTTGATGCGACAACATCTGGGAACAACACGGACACAGGGAGTACTCCCCCTACCCATACACACACCGTCAAAACTGCTTGTAAGCTAGAACAACGTCTCATTCCTCTCTTTCCGCATATTTTTCTTCTCTGTTTGTCTTTTTGTATTTTTCTCTCTTTTTCTGTGCCAGATGGCCTGGTCCCTGCTTGCGTTGTGAAGTACCAAGATTGAACCAAGGGGTTGTACCTCATTCTCTCCGGCCCGTGATGGTGACTCCTAGCCTCAGTTGTTACCTCGTATAGCGCGCAGAGGGAGTGGAGGACTCCAGGATATCTGTCTTGATTTCTATTGACTTGCGGACATTTTTAGTTGAGTGTACCTTGTTAGGGTAAGTCAACCTGCGACCACGGGAATCGACCGCGTCGAGTGTTGGATCAGTACAGACATCCGAAGGTACTGGGTAGAGAGAGATCGGAACGGTTTTTAATGTGAAGACAACAACAGAACAACAACAACAACAACAACAACAACAACAATAACAACAACAACAACAACAACAACAACAACAACAACAACAACAACAACAACAACAACAACAAAAACATACAAATGATGTAGATGATTGAAATGATACACTCTGCCTTTACTGTCCGCGCTGCCTACAAATATAGTCTATGGGAAAGGTAGCTATTCCTTCTGCCGACACACGGGCGAGAGAGGCGACCATACCCACTGCATTTAACACACACCCACATGTCAGTGATGAAACCCCAACGACACGCCTCTCTCTATCGGCGGCCACGTCAGGAGGCAATGACGAGATAATGTCCTCCCGTGCCCTTCTCACATTTAACGACATGCCATTACAAAACAAGATATATATGTTCTCCCGCGCCGCACATACATGCCCCCATACATCACACACAAAAAAATAAGTTCGATACGGTGTCGGGAGTGCTGAGGGGGGAGGGCTTGGCCCTTGTGGTTGAAGGTGGCAAGGAAGTAGGAACAGGGGGTGGCAGTGTCGGGGGCCTGGGGGAACATGGGCTTGAATGGGGGTTGCCTCAGAAAGAGCAAGACGGCGGATGTTTCTCTCTTGGTGTGACCGGTGGCAGTATCGATCAGCAATGCCGCACAGACTTTTGCGCGCCGAAATATGCGTGCGACAGCTTTAACCTAACCACTTCGGTGGAAAGCGGATTTCTGTTCGATACGGTGTCGGGAGTGCTGAGGGGGGAGGGCTTGGCCCTTGTGGTTGCAGGTGGTAAGGAAGTGGGAACAGGGGGTGGCAGTGTCGGGGGCCTGGGGGAACATGGGCTTGAATGGGGGGTGCCTCAGAAAGCGCAAGACGGCGGATGGANGGAAAGCGGATTTCTGTTCGATACAGTGTCGGGAGTGTTGAGGGGGGAGGGCTTGGCCCTTGTGGTTGCAGGTGGCAAGGAAGTAGGAACAGGGGGTGGCAGTGTCGGGGGTCTGGGGGAACATGGGCTTGAATAGGGGTTGCCTCAGAAAGAGCAAGACGGCGGATGTTTCTCTCTTGGTGTGACCGGTGGCAATATCGATCAGCAATGCCGCAGACTTTTGAGCGCCGAAATATGCGTGCGACAGCTTTAACCTAACCACTTCGTTCGGTGGAAAGCGGATTTCTGTTCGATACGGTGTCAGGGGTACCAGAGAAGACGGGGCCGAGTATTGTTTGATTTCAGGTGGATGAGGTTGGGGTTTCGTTCGTTTTTCTCCATCTAAGGTTCGTGCCTAGAGTTCAGCTGTAGTGTTTCGACCAAAGTTTTGTTGACCTAGAGGCAAACATTCCTAGCTATTGGGCATCGAGTTAATTTGGCTTGGCATGACGGCCTTTACGATCGACTTTTTATGTATGTCTGCATTTATCTGCAATTGTCGGAGGGCAAACAAAATCATAATAATAAGTTGATGACGAAAATATACACACTCCGAGACGCGCTTGCTCCGCCATACTAGAACACCAGACAAACCGAGTTCCCCTAAATACATCTTCCGTCTACAACTTCCCAACATAATAACATACAGACAGATCGATATACAAGATGGCTGCCAAACTTCCTTTTTGAGCCTGTTACCCACAGGGGAGATATCGTTGTATGCTGTCTGGGAAACCGTAGACATGCAGGTGGCCTTTCGCTCACGCTATGGATTCATTGCTAATCTATCTGAGACTTTTTTTTTTTCTATAAAAAAAGATGGATTTGTTGTGTGATATTTTACAGTTTCGGACAGTTTCGGAACCCCAAAAAAGCTGAAATAAGGAAATTTATTTTGAGTTAAGCCATCGTTCTGAGGATCGTTCCTGACAGTCTCGCCAGAACCAGAAACAAGGAAAAGTATTTCGATTTAAGCGCCGAGCGCGGCTCGTTTTGTGGAAAATTTTGCGAAGAAAACTATTTAAGCAACTTTCTTCGAAACAACAAACCCACACCAGCTACCACCACCACACCAGACCCACACGCACACACAGCAGTCTGCTACGAACATGTCCAGCACCCGCCCAAAGAGAACGACAATGCCCAGCGCAAAGGCGNGTTCTGAGGATCGTTCCTGACAGTCTCGCCAGAACCAGAAACAAGGAAAAGTATTTCGATTTAAGCGCCGAGCGCGGCTCGTTTTGTGGAAAATTTTGCGAAGAAAACTATTTAAGCAACTTTCTTCGAAACAACACACCCACACCAGCCACCACCACCACACCAGACCCACACGCACACACAGCAGTCTGCTACGAACATGTCCAGCACCCGCCCAAAGAGAACGACAATGCCCAGCGCAAAGGCGCTGGATCTGGCGCGCGACGAGGTTGCCAAGAGGGAGGCGGCACGGGCAGCCGGTCGGGTGGGCTTTGCGGCTCTAGGCCAGCAGCACGCCCGAGACCTCGAGGCAGGGGGAGGAGAGGAGCAAGCGGCCGGGAGGCGGCGACGATGTCCAAGTCGTGGCAGCACCAGCAGCAAAGCAGGCAAGGGTTAGGAAGAGCACGAAGTGGCCTCCTACTTACGACTTGGCGCTGGCAAGGGCGGGTGAGTCTTTCCCCGCGCAAGGGTATGCTCTGTTTTTCTAGAGAGAGGCGTTTGTTGGCTTGAATGTGTTCCCTCCCCAAACCCCACCCCCATACGCTCCGAACGCGACACAGCACTGCAGGAGCAGCCGGCCAGTGGTATACGTACTTGCTGTCTCCGTACTGGTGCGATTTCCTGTGCTGGAGTTAGTTGTTTCCTTTGCTGGGGTTGAGGGAGCGACCCATGTGCACGCGCACACATACATGCACTCTGTTTTTGAACTGTAAAAGAGACAGCCACTGCGAACCAGATTGTTGATCCTTGGCAACGAGGGTGCAACGAGTGCACAACATATACGAAAGATTCAATCGAATAG